TGATGATGATAATGATGATGATGATGACGATGATAATGATGATGATGATGATGATGAACTTTTGGTTGGTGAATTTACCTATAAAAGTTGTAAAATTTTGTTAACAACGTTTTGTAATCTTTTCATGTTTACATACAAAATTTTTAACAGCAAATATTTGCTGCATGAGGTCCTTTAAATGACGTACTGCGGATATTCGGTTAGCTTCATTCTGTCCTAGAACTCGCCGAAGTCTAGGGTCAAGGAATAGGCTACAGAGAACCACAGAATTGTTTAACAAAATTTCATCTCTTTTTTCGAGGCACTCGGCTAAGAGATCGCTGCAACTATTTTTCATAAGTTTAATATTGAGCTTGAGTTCAATCCACAGCTTGTTGAAGTCTGCCATGTATAGCTGGCTGCTTTGCAGTTTTTTTGTGGCTATGTAGGCGGGCTTAAGTGTTGCTACCAAGGTCTTCAAATAGTCCCAGTCCTCGTTCGCCAATGGGGTAGGTACATGCATCTCACAAAGCTCCCTTAGATTTAGAAGCTGTTTCAGCATCGAGTATGTGGAGTTCCACCTAGTTGACACGTCCATAGGAGGTTGCGTAAAGGATCCATTCATTAGCAGGTTCCTGTAATTATCAAATTTAAAAATTATCTTTAAATAATGTAAAGAATTTGATTTTTAGTTACCTGTAAGAAGGGGTTCTTAATTTTTTTACTAATGTCCTGGCATTATCAACTATTTGGCATGATTGTTGGTCCATGAAGTCCTTCACTGCTAACTGGAGAGTGTGTGCTGCACACTTTACGGACTTTACAGAGTCTATTGAAACTCCTTCAAGTATGTCCATTTCATCATCCCGGGAAGCAATGTCACCTTCATTATCTTCGCAAGTATTCAACAGCTCCACTGATTTAACCATGTTGCGTCCATTGTCAGTCGTAATTGAGAAAACTTGGCTTTTACGAATCGCAAACTGTTTTAAAATGTCGGACACTGTGGCACTAATATTCTCCGCTGTTGATCGCACATTTAACTCTATTATTGCAAGAGTATGAATTACAATTTTGCTTCCATTATAGTACTGCAAGTTTACGCCAAGAATACTTCGATTTAACCTGGTAGCTCCATCAATTTTTAGGGACACCATCCGATTTTTCAGGCCCGAAATCATTTTATTTTTAATGCTGTCGTATTTGTGAGATACCAACTCTATTATATTTCGCGAAGAAATTTTGGGGATGTTCACGCCCATAAAAATTTGATCCGTAAAGAATTGAAATGCCTTCGAGTCAAATAGAGAAAATGGTACTTTTTCGGACGTTACTAGCTCTACGCAAGCGTCCTTTACGTCTTTCGCCGCGAAACAAACGGAACAATTTTTTTTTTTCGGGGCTTTCATCATTTTTTTTCCATTTCGTCAGGTACGCTGTCTCCATGAACTGACTCCAGATGGCGCCTTAAGTTCGTGACAAAATTTCCGAAAAAAGTTTTGTGGCAAATTTTGCATACCGACAGGTTTTTTACGGAATCGAATTCAAAAAAATTTCGATGAATTAAGTTTTTCTTACGACCCATTTTTAGTAAAAATTTATGACAACCTTTTATGTTGAACTCAACTAATAATGTAACGATGTACAACAAAACCTTTGACAATAAAATATTTGAATAACATATGAATACTCGATTATGTATACGCATATTATTCAATGTCGCGCTAGTAATTATCAAGGCTCGCTATATGAGTTTATGACATCATGAATGGCTGTATTGGTCAGAACTTTAAAAATTGTTACCATGGTCATTAATGGTTCCTCTAGGTCTGAAGAATTCGCGGTCTTATTATGTTGAAGAATTCATGAATGGCTGTATTGGCCAGAACTTTAAAAATTGTTACAATGGTCATTAATGGTTCCTCTAGGTCTGAAGAATTCGCGGTCTTATTATGTTTATGACTTTATGAATGGCTGTATTGGTCAGAACTTTAAAAATTGTTACCATGGTCATTAATGGTTCCTCTAGGTCTGAAGAATTCGCGGTCTTATTATGTTGAAGAATTCATGAATGGCTGTATTGGTTAGAACTTTAAAAATTGTTACAATGGTCATTAATGGTTCCTCTAGGTCTGAAGAATTCGAGGTCTTATTATGTTGAAGAATTCATGTGTATAAGTACAAATTGCAACCTTTAAAATTCCAATTCCAATTGAGCAACAGATATTTAAGACTTATATATTTTCGATCACCAAATAAAAGTTATTTAATGATTTTTTTACTATAAGTCTTTTCGTAAGAGTTATCTTGACTTTTATTTTTTCAGTCTAAAAATAACAGTTATTTTTAGACTTTTATTATAAAAGTCATGAATAAAAGTTACGGAGGACTTTTATTTTTTCGGTCAAAAAATAACTGTTATTCTCTGACTTTTATTTTAAAAGTCTGAAATAACAGTTACTTCATGACCAATTTCAAAAAAGTTACAAAAATTTAGGTCATTGCGGATCTGAATAGACCGCATTAGATTGGTTATGTGACTTTTTTCTCTGATTTTTAGTGGGATCCGAAGTGCAAGATTTTTTTGATTAAAAATTATAAAATAACTGTTATTTTCGGTCCCTGTTTTTTAATATTTCTGAATTTCGAATTAATTATTTAAAAAATCGGACTACTATATCATATAGCTGCCATAGGAACGATCGGAAAATTAATGGAAAAGTAATAGGAAATAAATTCTAGCTTCTTTGGTTTTTGTTGTATTATCTTCTACTCTAGAATATGACTCTTTTTAAATATTTCCGAATTTCAATTTTAATTTTATCGAAATCGGACGACTATATCATATAGCTGCCATAGGAACGATCGGAAAATTAATGGAAAAGTAATAGGAAATAAATTCTAGCTTCTTTGGTTTTTATTGTATTATCTTCTACTCTAGGATATGACTCTTTTTAAATATTAGCGAATTTCAATTTTAATTTAATCAAAATCGGACGACTATATCATATAGCTGCCATAGGAACGATCGGAAAATTAATGGAAAAGTAATAGGAAATAAATTCTAGCTTCTTTGGTTTTTATTGTATTATCTTCTACTCTAGGATATGACTCTTTTTAAATAATTCCGAATTTCAATTTTAATTTGATCAAAATCGGACGACTATATCATATAGCTGTCATAGGAACCATCGGAAAATTAATGATAAATATTAGAAAATTGAACATTTTTGCGATTTGTTAATTAATAGGAATGATCTGCAAGGGTATATAAGCTTCGGCTGGCCGAAGCTAGCTTCCTTTCTTGTTTTAATTTATCTTATTTCATTCTTTCGGCTTTTGGTTTTCTAGGTAAGGGCTAGTACTCAACCAAAACAAACAAAAAGTAGTCCACAACAAAAAACTGTATATGAAAAAGAGTCAAGAAATTTTGTTTCATATGAAGTTTTTTGGTGTGGACGACTTTTGGTTGGGTTGAGTACTAGCCCTAAGGCAAGATTATTCAAATTCGCATTTGTATATCCTTGCGCGGGTATTATAATTTCAAGCAGAAGTTTACAACGAAGTGAAGTACACATTTCGCACCACATAAGAAACATATTCTTGATCAGCTTGACTGACTGATCCCAGCCAGGTCCGAAACGTCCGTCCGTTTCTAAGCAAACGAGTCTCTTAGTTTTAAAGCAGTCGCGTTGAAACTTCCCCAAAAGTCTCGTTCCTATTGCATGTAGTTCATCTGTAATATTCTGTTTTTTGACCATTTAAAAAAAACATCTCATTAAACAAATAGTATTTGGTCTGTATAATAATAAAAGGCAATAAATTAGAGCGTTTTTTAATTCATTGCCAAATTGTTAATAATGCCGCCAAGCCTCACTTAGGGCCGTTTTCTCGTCCGCCTGTTAAATTTAAAGGAAGGTTAAACTCCGATTTTTCATACAATTTCATGGGTTTAACCGTACTTTAAATTTAACAGGCGGACGAGAACGGCCCTTAGAAGAAGAAAATAACAAGGCGCTTAAGATGCGCCGTAAGTAGTATCCCTTATTTAAAAGAGTCTCTGTCGCGAAATTCTACTCTCACAGAAGGAGAAGTAAAAGAGTTTGAGCATTGAAAATGTACTATTTCTTCTAACTAAAATTGTATATAAAATTCGGCTCGCCAAAGTAAGCTTCCTTTCTTTCAGGGACTGCAAATAGGTGTTACGACTTAAATCAAAATTCAGGCTAAATCAGCGTCCAAAAAATACTTACTTAGTATGATTCGGCAAATGGGAAAACGTGGTAGGCCTCTTTTTCAATTTGTATTTTATTTATTAAAAACAACAGAGAACGCTATAGTCGGGTGACCCGACTATCAGATATCCGTTACTCAGCTTAAGGGAGTGAGAGGGAAATAGAGATATAAAACTTTGATCGCGCACAATTTTTTAACGAATGGTCCGATTTGAAAAATTTCTTTTACATTTCTATAGGTATTGATAAACACAATAAAACTGCATGTATACTTCTCTGAAATCTTTAAAGGGTGGCCCCAGACATTTTTTTAAAATCGTTTAAGGCGATTGTGGGCGTTGGAGGGGGCGTGGCACCTTTTTAAAACAAACTTGCCAAAGAATATGTGTGGGTAATCCCAACTTTCTAGCTTTTGTAGTATCCGAGATCTCAGCGACGGTTAGACAGACAGACGGACATGGCTAGATCGACTTGGCTAGTGATGTTAATCAATAATATGTATACTTTATGGGGTCGGAAAACTTCAAACTTCTGACTGAAATCATAATACCCTCTCCAAGGGTATAATAAAGTTTGTTTTAAATTTTGGATTTTGTGATGCTACTCCGGTAACGGCTTTGCGCCTAATATTTGAATTTCAGTATTAATCAACGTGATTTCTTAATTTCCATGCTGCACAGAGTCTTAAACCCATTTAACTTAATTAGGGCTACCTCAAGTATAGGGCAACCGAGTTTTCAGTCTATGTTTAAGAGACATTATACCCCCAGAGACACCACCTTCAAATAATTTGCTTAGAAGTGTTTTTTTTATATTAAAGACATTATATACAAGCTCGATAGCTAAATTAAGTTTTTTAATTCGTCATACACTTTTTTTATTTAAAACATTTTTTGTTGGTTGCTTTTCACTTAAAATCACTAAGGTATTTGTCATGTAGTAAAGAATAAATTCATTGTTTAAAAAAAGGTTTATATTCATTTTCCTCTCATGACCTAATATATATAGGAGTATGCTAAAAATACCATAATTAGCAGCAAGGCTTTTCTCTCTTTAACTGCAACTTGAATCTTAACTATACAATTTTAGAAGCGACTCTTAATATGGTAAATATTCAATTATAGCATGCAATCCGACTAATTTTTTCTGTTACAAAATATATATTTTTTGTCAAATCTGGGGGTTATACATTATACTAGCTTTCTCAAACAGCTAAATATTTTTTGTATGTGTATTTACAACAATTATTTTTAAGTTCTATGTTATAAAAAAACCACTTGTGGGGTTGCCTCCTTTTTTTCCGCTAGGAACAGCTGCAACCCTCGACAGACATATTTGGTATAACACTTAACACCAGGTTATGGTTATCGTCAAAATATAACAAACTTAAGGAACTCATTTTTGTTGGTGAGCAACACGGTGTGGCCGACGTAGTTAAGGCTGCTAAATGTGTATGTGGATATTGCTCTAGGTAACCAACTTTGCAATCTCCACTGCAGAAGTATGCATCAAATGACGTTGGTGCCACAACGAAATGCCATCCAAAGCTGGTGAAGTTAACTTTAAGTGGATATCGACAACATCGCATGTCATGATCATTTTCTGTGCAGTCCATATATACGCTGCGCCTTCTCCGATTCTTTTTTTGTGACCCAATTTCTATATGAACTGTCTAAAATAAAGTGAATTTAAATATAAAAAATAACGTTAGTTTATTTTAGAAATTTATTTTCAATTTCAAGGTTACGTACCAACGGATTTTTTGATGTATTATCAGTGGTCACTACTAATGGCTTCATCCAGGGTTGTGCTCCTTTTATAAGAATTTCTTGCGTGGTGTTTGACCCAAGATCCCCAAAAAGAGATTTTAAATCAACGTTAACCCATTGGCCTAGGCCTGACGGAATACTTCGACGAAACTCAAATATTTTTCCTTTATGAGTAAAGCTTGTGGTATTTGCACGCTTCATAGCACGGTGAATGATCACTACAATATCTTTACTTGGCTGATTATTAATCTCTCCAATGAGCTCCGGCTGATGTTTGTTTATCCAGTCCCAACCACGTAAATACAAATGAAGCGTGGCGTATGATAAATCCGTATAGCTAACGTCAATTTTAAACCGAAAAACGTCGGCATTACGGTTGTGTCGGACATGAGGTTGAATTTCTAAATGAACAAAATAGTAAAATTAATTTTAAAAAATTTAATTTTTAAGTTTAAGCTTCACTAAGATATTCATAAACTAAATTAACTTTTTAATTAATAGAACGGTATAGTTGACTGTTCTTTGACTTACTGCTTAACATGGTATTGAGTATACACATGTGGCATGTACCTATATACATTAGGGTGGACTTTTTTAAGGTCAACGGAGCTCAGCATCTTAAATGGTAGGTTTCTGTGTCCAATAAGTTTATGCGAAAACAGAACAATTTTATTTCATCGTTTAGGCGGTGCGCAATGGCCCTAAAGTTTCGCTAAAAATTAAGTGTAAAACTAGGAATTTACCCCATTGCATTTCTTGTCAGGTTTAATATTTTTCTTCTTTTTTTATACAAGTAGAAATTTATTTCATGAATATTAACAGTTGGACGTAGCCTAGCCTGTAGAGCTTCTGTCTTCGAACAAAAAGGACCGAGTTCGATCCCCGACCCACCATTTTTTTTTGTGACTCACAATAAAATAGGGATTTTATTTTACATTTTTGAAGATTAACTATCACTTTTGCGTTCGCCAATAAAAATTATCGTCAAAGAAATGCTGTCTTAGCATACAACGATATTGACTATTATTTTTCAGGGAAAGTCATTCATTATTCGTTATTATTGTTATTTTTAAGGGGTTATATACCTTTTTGAGCGAAAAAAATTGAGGGAACTTTGGATTTTTTTTCAGGTGTGTAGCAATTTACTTATGAAACTGAAGTTATTATTTATTGATAGTACATGTTTTTATCGAAACAACAAGCGTTTGATCTTGAAAATATATGAATAATTTACAAAGTTATGACAATTCTCTCGGAACCCTTTTTTTTTTAAGCGGCTTTTCAAGAATATTTGCTTTTTTCTGCATACAGTAACAATTTTTCCAAAAAGTTGATTTTTCGAGTACTAAAAATTTTATTAAAAAATTTTTTTCTGCGAAATCAAAATTGACGCATAAAAACTGAATCGTTCACGAACTCGGCACAATCATTACGAATAATTTAAAAAAAACATGAAGATCGATCAAACAGTTCTTGTGCAATCGTGGTCACCGCAAGCCGCTTTAAAAAAAAAAGGGTTCCGAGAGAATTGCCATAACTTTGTAAATTATTCATATATTTTCAAGATCAAACGCTTGTTGTTTCGATAAAAACATGTACTATCAATAAATAATAACTTCAGTTTCATAAATAAATTGCTACACACCTGAAAAAAAATCCAAAGTTCCCTCAATTTTTTTCGCTCAAAAAGGTATATAACCCCTTAAGTTGTAATTGTCTCCCAGGGACTCGAATTTTATCAACGACTTCATCCCTTGTTAAAAAGCTCGGGAAAGTGATTAAGATACTTTTTAAAATACTGTCAAAGTACAAAATCAAGTCTACGGCATCTAGATGAATCTGAAAAATGCGTAATAAACTATAAAACCGTTGCGCACCGACAAAAACTAATTATTTTTTACTTTTTCTTTATTTTATGGATTTAGGATACAAAAAGGCTATATAGAGAGAGCATGGCCTTAAAAATTTCATACAAAAAAAGTCCACCCTAATGTACATATATGTACTAGACCTCTGCATGAATGCATTCAATAAATTATTTTGTTTTATGTGAACAAATGAATTTGAATTTTAATTTGAATAAAACTAAGTGAATTTGGATTTGGATGAAAGGCATGAATTCCAAAATTTAGTAGTTCAATTTGCCTAAATTTTAATGTTTAAAATTTAAACACCATGTACTTAACACTGTTTTATTTCTCAACTATTGGTTCTTTTGAGCAGGGGTCGAAAATAATGAATTTTTTTTTTTGAGTAAAAAACGAAAATCTCTATTAATTAATTATTTTGTAGGCGAAAAAAAATATCGCTCAGAAATAATGATTATTTTGTGAGCGATATTATTTTGCTTAGAAATATCACTCAATGTTAGATTGCTGCCCCCCTACGCTGAATTTTACAAAGATTTAAATGTGCTCTTGTAGGTAGAACAACGAAGCACTTATCCAGTTAAGAAAAAAATAAATTTTCTTTGTATAAACTGCTTAAAAAAAACAAAAAAACTTGTTGTATATAAAAACACTTTCTGTGGAAATCGAACTCGTGCTTACAGCTCGGTGGACTAACACCCAACCCACATGTCGGGTTGGATATAAGTGGAATAGGTCTTAGCACCTTAGGACCTTAAGCCTTTATTTCATTTATATTATGTTGTTATTGTTATTGTTGTTATTGTTAAGTCGTTTTACTAATATATAAATGACATAAAGTCCTAAGGTGACTACAACTTTTTGTAGTTATGCATACCTCTTGTAAACTAAAACCGCGTTTTAAAAAGTTTATACAAAGAAATTAACTAAATGTGTGCTCCGTGGTTCTGCCTACAAGCACAAATTTAAAACTATTTAAAATTCCGTATAGAACGGCTGCAATCGCACTTTGAGTGATATTTTTAAGCTAAATAATATCGCTCACATAATAATCATTATTCCTGAGCGATATTTTTTTTCGCTTACAAAATAATCATTAAGTGGGGATTTTTATTTTTTTCACTTATAATGATTGCGGTCCCTGCTTTTTAGGGGGCAATAATACCTTTTCTTAAATTTAGTTTGCTTCTCCAAATTGATCTATTATTTTAGAAAGTAATATCAAAGAAAATTGATAAGCAAATATCTTAAAGGTAGCTTTAAGGTATTTGGTTTAATAGAAAATTTCTCTCGAAATGGGCATTAAGACTCAGTAAGTAAACACTAAAATAAATGATATGTACTTACGTTCGGGAAAGATGTAAATGTTGCTAATGTGTGAAAGAATTCCCTCGTATTCCTCTCCATTGTTTTTAGTGGGAATATCCGTTTTTGTATCTTGATTTTTATTCAACTCTATTCCTTGCATTAATTGAAATTCATTAACAGCGTTAGCATCATCTCCTTGCATTTGAGAGGACGAACTTTCTTCATATGAATCAGTCATAGTGTCGCTGGCATAAGTGTCATTTGACTTAAAACTTTCTGGGACTGATGAATGAGATTCGTCTGCATTTGTCATGCGACTCCAAACTGAATTTGTCGAGGACGTATTAAAGTCCTTATAAAAATTATCTATTATATTTTGTGGTACTGATATTGGTTTGGTTATATTAGGAAGTTTTTTTAAATTTAAGCGCATAAGTATATGCATTTTAATTGACTCTAAACTGTCCACTTTGGCTTTCTCACGCAATTGACGTTGCAGCATACTTTCTATATTGAGAAGGGTATTGCGGTACATAGACACACTTTGAACTTTTGTGAAATCTTCTGAAACTGATACCTTTGGTAGGGAAGAACTTTTTTTGGCCAGCTTACTTTGTACTTTTATTTGGAATAATTCAGTATTTTCATTAATTTGGTCCTCGGCAGATATCGAAGAGTCGTTTTTTTCAGAAAGTACGTTTGTGTTAATATTTTTTTCGTTACTCAACAAAACGATTTCCGGACTAACGCTGCTGTTGGAAGAATTACTGAAGCTTTTTATTTCAGTCTCAGCATTAGCACTGTGTGCAGCCGCTAGGATTAAAACTACGGCGACTGCTAGACATCGGTTTACAAGGAAATTACATCTCGAACGTCCAAGTATAATCATTCGATCGTTTCTTCTCGTTTTGCAGTCACAGAAAAATCTGCAAGGAACTGGAAACCTGATTTCGTTGTGGTGTACTCTTATGTGAATATCTGTGATTGAGTGGTTTTGTTGAGTATTTTCATTTAAAATGCTATTATCTTTGGATATGGGTGGATGATATGGATCGTAAGTCTTATATTTTTTCCAACCGCAGCATGATTTGGCCAGCATGATTTTTGATCAAACCGTTGTTGAGTGCTGAAAAAAGCTTTTTTTTATAAATACATTGTTAAATAAAATCCAGGACGTCACTTCATATGTCAATAATATTAACACTTATGCAGCGTGCGCCATCAAAATTTTTATTTTCTGAAAGTGACTTTACTGACAATGTGACTTATACACTCAGAAAAAAAAATTTCCTTAATTTAAGTCCATTGACCTTGATTTAAGGAATAATGGCTTTAAAATGGCTAAATAAGGCTATACATGGACTTAAAAATTTTTATCCCATATACATTTTAAGTCTACATGGACTAAAAATGGACCTAAGTCCATGTAACAGTCCATATGGCCTTAAGTCCAAAATTAGTCCATGTAGACTTAAAATGTATATGGGATGAAAACTTTTAAGTCCATGAATAGCCTTATTTAGCCATTTTTAGTCCATCGTTCCTTAATTTAAGGAACGTGGACTTAAATCAAGGTAATTTTTTTTTCTGGGTGTACGGGCGTGTTTTGGAAATCTGTACCAACCAAAGGCAGTTGGTTTTGTTCATAGATGTAGGTAAGAACCATAACGGCTTTTGGTTGGAAAAGATTGCGTTAATTTCTCAAGGGTAACATAAATCTCTTTTCAACAATAAAATAATATCAATTCCAACTGATTTTGGTAGAAAACAAATTTATTTGTTATCCCGAAAAGTGTTACGTAAAAGCGTGCATTATCCGTTCAAAACGTTCGAATTTTAAGAAGAGACATAAAAATCGAGCGTTACTTATGTATTTCTTCATATTTACTATTACATTTTCAAACATTCGTTGAACATTTGGAAACTTTTCTCTTCTTCTATCCACAGGGTTCCTATGGGATAAAATCAGAACATTCTACTTTTAGTCGCATGTCAATAGTGCGCCCAATCTAAGCACACTATAAAGTTAGAAAATTGACAAAAAAACAAAAGAGAACGCTATAGTCGGGTTTGTGTCCCGACTATTTAATACCCGTCACTCGGCTAAAGGGAGTGCAAGGGAGATGGATATATAAAATTTTTTGATTGCGTATAACTATTTAATGAATGGTCCGATTAGAAAAATGTCTTTTACATTTCGATAGGTATAAGTATACACAACAAAATTGCATTTATACTTCTTGGAAATCTTTAAAGGTGTGGGCGCCAGACAAATCGCTCGTCTGAAATAAACTTGCACTGCGTAGGAAGCCCAAGAATATGTGTGGGAAATCTCAACCTTTTAGCTTTTGTAGTTTCCGAGATCTCAGCGTTCATACGGACAGACAGAAATGAAATGAAAAGAATCAGCTTAATGTGACAGTCAGAACAAAAGTTATTAATTTTTTCCCAAAACATCCCATTTTGTGTAAGTTGAGACAACCGTTTTTCATACAAAAAGGCCTTAGGCCAACAGAGGCCGCTTTCTGCCTAATACATTTCTTCGATATTAGTGGATTTGATTTTAATTGTTATTTGGTCTAAGTTCTTAAAAAATGGATGGGAAATAATTTACGACGAACTAAAATTGATTAAATTAACATAAATAAATAGTTCCTTATAGTTTGGAGTACTTTTTGTGTGAGTATTATTGACTTTTAAAAGTGTCTCAACTTACAGACCTCTTTTTCAAAATGTCGTTTTTTGGGACTTTTCAAAAAAAATAATTTTTCAGTTTTCCCTAAGGAAAAAAAATATTTTTTTTTGTTTTTTATTAAGCTAATAGACTCACCTTTCGATCAGTACCAAATGCGTAAAGTTTAATAAGTGAATGTCGAAATGGCAGATTAAAAACAAAAGGTGTACCAACCTACAGACCTCTCCCCTACATATAAATACTTGTTGTCCATATTATAGGAATTGCCTTGAAAAATTATCCAGGGACACTCAAATTATATTTTTCACCCTTTTCTTCCTATAAGAGCTATAGAATATAGACGTCCGATCGGAACGCGTTTCAAACTTAATCTGCGTATACTTTTAGGACGGCTGTGCAAGTTTCAAATCGCTAGCTTTTAAACTGAGCTTGCAAACGGTATTGAATAAGACGGACACACAGTGGGGCGAAAAAGCCAAAAGTCTGCCTTAAATCAGCGGAGCACTATATCGAATATCTTTTAATGGGGCATTGTTAAAGGCAATTAAATATGTAAAAAAAACATCATAAGGTGAATTTTTTTAGTGAAAATTTTTTGTTGTAGGAAATTTTTAAGAAAAAAAATGATTTTTTTCAAGAAAACAAATACAAAAAAATTCTTTATAGGGTTCTAAGTTTCCCAATATTTTTTGTTTAATTAACTTGATTTTAAAAACAAAAATTTTTCAAATCGGTCAACTATATCTTATAGCTGTCATGTAAACGCTTATTACAAAGGGGCATTTTTCGGTTCTATTTCAATATTGGTTTATATAAATTGGGATTAAGTCATTATTTATCATTTTAGCTCTATGATTACCTTTTTTTTTTAATTGGTCAATGATATCTTATAGATGTCATAGAATCAATCAAGGAAATATAGCATATTTTCAAAAAAAACTGGTAGAAACCGGTATTTATTTCATATCTGTATTTTTAGTAAAATAACATAATTTAAAATTTTAAACCCAAATTTGTTTATTAATTTATCATTATCTTCATCAATACCTTCACATTAGTAAAAAATCTTCATGATGTTAGGGCGCGCGGATGTACCAGGGCTGACGATATTTCAAATTAAGAAACATTTCTTGCTAACTTAAACTGCGGTTTTCTCAGAAGAGGCACAAAAGGGCAGGCTAATTTTTTCAATATGTAGTTAAATATCTAAACTTTTTTTTAAAAAAAGAATTAAACGGGGATCTAGGGTGTAACACTACTTTACGTCCAAGAATATCCAAAAAATCCCAATTTTTTTGGACCACTTTTAAAAAATTAAAAAAAACAGTAATTATGTATCTAAAATTTTAATTTTTTTTTTTAATATATTAAGAATTGGTTGCTCTTAAAATTTCAATCGTCACATATACAACTTAGACCCTTGGGCGCTTTCAGAAAAATTAAAAAAAAAAAAAAAATTTTGGCAGGCTTTTTGTTCTAGGCGCCCCAGTGTGGGACATGGATATATCGACTCCGATATTGCTCCTGATCAAGAATATATATACTTTATGGGGTCGGAAACGTCTCCTTCACTGCATTACAAACTTCTGTCTAAAATTATAAGGGTATAAAAATATCTTTTCTTCAAGTTTCAAGCTTTTTGGCTTGGTTGACGACCTCAGAGAATTGCCCTTGGTATACAATCCCTTTGGTTTGTGCAACACCTTTCGATTGGCGTATCGTCTGTACACACTTTCCTTGAGTGCTTCGTCACTAGGTGAACTGCCGTCTAAGCACATATTAAAATCGATAATAGTAAAACTGTCCCCAAGAACGGAATTGTAAATTTTACCCATCACATGACTCATTTGACCTATCTCAGCAACAAAATATATTAAATAGTATCCAAAGCAAAAACAAAATACACGTTACTTTTTTCAACAGTAGTTGTAACTATACGAATGATCCAATTTTACCCATAATTTTTTTTTGTAAATTATGATTCTATTTTGACGATCGCAATAGAAAATCAATAAAAGACGAGCGTAACACTAGTAAGCTTCCTTTTCTTTCTACATTACACATTGCTGCTGTCTGATCGCTAATACACGCAAAAATAATTTCGACGCTAGCATGTTGAATATTTTTTTAAGCGGCAATTAATTTATACAGTGGGTTAAGCCATTTTCTTAAGGATCAGAGTTCCAATCAGGCAAGCGTAGTGAAAATTTAATATTGGGCCAAGTATTTGTAGAATCTTTCTCATATTTGATAGACTATGATTCACCTACACAAAATTTGTGAAAGTGATTTTGTATGTATTGTGGGGATTGTATGTACGGATTTTTTGTACCTCAAAAATTTGGAAAATACGCCTATAAAAACTTTTCAAAGTGATTCAAATAGTATAAATCCGATCGGCAAGCGCTTTAACCCTGAACAAGGTATTCATAAAAAATAAGACTTGGAATGATCACTGTGGACGGCAGTCCACGTAGTGACGAAGCGCACCAGGAGAGTGTGCGAAGGCGAGTACTATTATATAGCCGCAGAATTGAAAATCATCTGTGATGGTCCGATCATAACGAGTGATACACCAATCGAAAGGTATCGCAAAAACTAACAGGATTGCATACCAAGACTTAATCAATTTCAATTGGTTTGGGAGAGAGGGCGGTGAATGTGTGAAAGTGAAAATTTAAAAAATTGGAGCTGTTGGGGCCGGTGGGGATAGCTGGTCTCTCGCAATATGCTTGTTGTATTCATATTAAAATGCGCCTAATATGAGGGGTCATATCGCAAAATCCAATGCTCCATTCAGAAAACAAGATTTTCTTCTTTCCAAAATGAAATAATTTGGCCCTTTGTTTGTGGGTATGCATTAAATCGTGGTTTTAGGATCCTTAACTAAATTTTACTGTGTTTAGCAGCAAGATATGAAAAACGTTTGCTCTACAACTTTTGGAAAAACCGCTAGTTTGGCGGGAAATCATTAGAAAAAGCTAGATTTTGACGGTTTATAGTTTCTAAATGACTAAAGCTACACCCTTGTTCTATACCTCGTTAAAAAGGTAATTTAATATGCTAATCGCGTCCCCTCGGTAAAATTGGCTAAATGCAATAGTTTAAAATGTTTGGCTAAAAGTTGTTTTTTTAAATCACTTTTTGGCTATTTTCTTCAAAACGGCTCTAACGATTTCGTTTTGAATTTGATACTATATAGCCCTTGAGATATCTCAACTTTTGATATATAACACTTTTTGTCATAAAAATGCGCGTTTGGATGTAATTCAGCGATGAAAAGTGCAACTCGTTTCAGTTTAGTATGGAAAATCTGGATGCTTACTTAAATGCCCAAAAACCAATTTGACAAATTCTTCTAATATAAAACTTCTAATATAAAACAAAAACATTTCTTAACGAGGTAAAAAAGTAGTGACGACCGCACCATCAACATACAAAAGTTCTGATATCACATTTTGTGACGAAAAATGCTTGTACATTCGACTTAACAAATATACTTTATAAAATGTTCTCATTCGGCACGCTGCAATAGAATATGCTTTTGAAGACGAAATTCTTAAATATTTTACAGAAGCAGATCGAATGAGAATATTTTTCGAGAGAACATTTTTCGTCACAAAATGTGATATCAGAACTTTTGTATGTTGTTATTCATTACACCGCTCAAAATATGTTCACAAAAAGGTACAATTTTAAAGTTTTATGAAAGCTATATAAATTAGACCATGATCAACCAACACAAATTTTCTGGAAATTGACTTTGTATGAAACAGTTTATTAACGGCTGACCAAAATTCAGCAATTCAACAGCTTAGGGAATACCCAGAATATTTGCATTGTTTGGGAGCTTCTTGTCTTGGCAGCTAAATGCGTCAATGGAAAACGACCACCCTAATATGCACACAGTCATACAATTTAGTTTATGCATGTGTATATATATGAACGCAAAGATCGTTCATAAACGTTTCACATGAGTCCTCTTGATGACCACTCTATTGTATTCAATTAAAACCATTTATAAACATAATAAATTGTTGTGCTCTTGAACTTCAGTTCATCGTTGAAAGTGCAGTATGCCCCTTTACAAACAGAGCAACGTAAATCAGATACCATAAATGTACCATTATAATATACATATGAACACACATATGTATGTGTGCATATAAACACATTTGTATGTATGTATGGGAGTATTTGTAGGAACGTGTATGTACACTTATAATATTTTAGCGATAACAAACATTTATAGGAACACGTACCAATTGTACATAAGTACATATATAATTATCTATTGGTATTTATTTATATTCATACACTTGTACAGCCGAATTCTATTTCGAACACTAGGCAATTGTGTGTATTTACATGTACTTATTGAATGTTTTATATTAAACTAACAGTTGAGCTATAGCTTCGCACATATTTCACTTGCTTCGCGTTATTATTAATTCGAGTATTCATCGCCAAGAAACACATAGTTAGCTGCAGTAAATGAGGGTATCCAAATACGAAGTAGTAATTATGTTTTTCCCACAGAGAATAGAGAACCAAAATATGGAATCCAGAGATTCTGTTCTGCTGGCTGTGCGGTTGGATGACGAGGTGGAACTGAGCAGCTGATCAGAGGCGATAATGCTGAACAGCCATTTACTTGGCATGACAGTGGGGTTTTTAAATCTGTTCAGATCGCATTCAAATAGGTCCTTTATTAATGGTATCCATGATCTTTCTTTCAGGGAAATCCGAGTTCTTTTCTTTTCTGTTTGAGTATTGCAACACAAAGAAATAAATATTTCTTGCTTGGATCTTAAGACAAATGGTGTCAATGTTGTCAATTTTCAAATGTTGGCAAAGCCTTATGGCGGGCATCTGAACTATCGATAAGTCTTATGCAGACCATAGTGATCTATCCGTTTGATCTATTACTCACAAATTTGTTTTTTTTCGAATTCAACGTATTGAATAATGGCATTAATGACACTTTATTATACGATAAAACGGATTTTTTGTGTATTAATTATTTTCTTCGTTAACATAAAGGTTTTCGAAAAAAATGTAAAATAAGTATTTTAAATAGGCGGTGAACACTAAAAATACTGCAATATCCCGCCATGAAAGTGGCGTCAGATAGTTTTCGATTCGTCGATAACAGCATTTTACCTATGGACCTATGTTGCCTTTTTTATGTTTCTGTTTCCCATTTAGTAAAATATACAATCAGAATGCATTCAGAGCTTGAAGTGGGAAGACCTCAAAATTGGACATGTAATTTGTTTAAAGCGGAAAATCGCCGCGATTTTTGTAAAAAAAATATTTGCTTGCGATATAAGAAATGCCTTCTTATTATTTTTATTTCCGTTTGAAAATTTAAATTTTATTTTACCTTTACCTTATTTTTTTTTTAACTATATTTTTTTAACTACGACAACTAAAAGGCTCTATCCAAAATTTCATTCGGACTTTCTTATTTTAATTTCGTGTGCTTAAAAATTTATTGTCGTACCATCACTAAAACATCAAGTGACATCGACACACCGATATATTTTTTTTTTGTATTGGTATGTACATGGGTGTGTTTTTTTTATATTAACAAATTTTATTACAAATAACAGGGGTTGGGATGTGGGTGAGTTATGGATTGGCCCGCCGCTAGGCATTACTTCATGGGACGGGAAGGGGTCCTTCATGATGATGGCGGCCGCATTTGCCGCTGCTTTCCATGCGGTCTCGCTCGATATCATACGCTTTACCAGCGTGTCTGGCGAAAGGTCCTGGATGTCCTCTTCTAGGCTGCGCCTTTCTCTGCTGAAAAAGGAGTGCTCAGCGTCTTCTAAATAGAAATCCCCGTCCTTGCAGTACTCGCAGAATGGGTCGTCCGCATGCCCGAACCGATTAAGGTATGCTTTAAAGCAACCATGTCCAGCGAGCACTTGGCTTAGGTAAAAATCTACAGCGCTACGAGACGCAATTCTGGTTAAATGCACAGAAAGAATCAGACGGAAACTGGAGGTACACACCGACAGAAGCTGCCGAACAAAACACGCCATCTCTAAGGACACGTGCTTTAAGTGCGGACATCCTGGTCACAACAGTAGGAACTGCAGCAAACCACCGAAGTGCTTGCTTACACTCGGAAGGGGGCCCCAGAAACCGGTCACTCGGTCTTCAACCGACGCTGTCCGGAATACCAGAAGGCACTATCCCAGCTGAAGGATGGTTAGGGTACTGCAGCTGAACCTTAAAAACTGCAGAGCAGCGCAGGACCTGCTGTGGCAATCCTCAGTAAGCCATATACAGCAAAACATGACGGAGTATGGACGGAGTATACAAAGCCATCACGGCGGCGCAGCAATCTGGAGCTGCTCACCAAACAGCAGACAGCTAACCGAGCGACTATCCAAGCCAGGATACGCAAGGGCTAAATACAATGGGACGTTTCTCTACAGTTTCTACATCCCACCGCGCTTCACGCTACCGAAATTTGAGGACATTATCTTCGACCTGGTCAGCGACGCGAGTGGAAAGTGACTAGTGATCATTGCGGGAGTCTTCAATGCCTGGGCCACAGAGTGAGGTTCCAGCCGCACAACGCCACGAGGAACATCCCTGCTGGATGACTTTGCAGATCTAAACGTGTGGTTACTGAACGTCGGAAGCCAGCCAACGTACAGCAAGGCAGGAGGGGAAACGGCCATCGACCTGACCCTTGCGAGCCCAGTAATCTGCAGGACCTCCAGATGGACGGTGGAAGACCTGTACACCCACAGCGACCACTTCGCGGTGATCACGGACACCGGTGCCGACGGGTTCACAACCTCACTCACGCCCGGAGCCACCCGATTCAGAGAGGGAACGCTGAACCAAAGCCTGCTCCTTCGCGCAGGCCTGCTCCTCGATAGCACGAGCCATCAACGACGCGTGCGAGGCGGCGATGACGAAAGTCAGAATTGGTGGAAGAAGTCATTGGCAGGTACCCTGGTGGAACAAAGATATTGCCAAAGCAAGAAAGGAATGCCACGCAGCCAGAAGGCTTTCACAGAGAGCTAGAAACTCGAGGAGCTTCGACCACGCCCAAGTCCTTTTTAGAGAAAGGCGAAAGACCCTAAAAGATGCCATTAAGCGAAGCAAGCAGGAGTGCTTCAGGACCTGTGCGATGCAGCAGATGCCCAACCATTTGGTGCTGCATATAAACTTGTAAGCGGGAAACTATGCCCAGAAACCCTGCTCAACTGGAAAACATAGTCGTGGCGCTCTTTCCAAACCAAGCACCGCTTGAGGCAGGATCAGACCACCCCACTATGGGAGAAGCAGAGCTAACCACGGACCGTGAAGTCCGGGAAGGCCCCGGGACCCGACGGAGTACCAAACTTGGCGCTGAAACACATAATAGCCAAACACCCTAATGTCTTCGCGCAGATGTACAACTGTGGCATCACAGAGCGAGTAGTACCAAAGGCCTGGAAACTCCAAAAGCTGGTTCTTATCCCAAAACCAGGCGAGGACCCCAGCGACCCGTCGGCTTACCGCCCGCTTTGCATGCTAGACTCAATAGGGAAGATCTTTGAGAGGATAGTCTGCAACCGGCTGGAAAGCGAGCTGGCGGCTAAACGAGGGATCTCTGAGTTGCAGTACGGCTTTAGGAAGAAGTGCAGCACCGTAGACGCTATCGGCACGGTGGTAAGACTCGGCTCTGATGCCATCGCAGGTTCCAGATGGGCAGAGGGGGACAAACACTACTGTCTTGTGTGCACGCTAGACGTCAAGAACGCGTTCAACAAGGCCAATTGGAGCCGCATCCTAGAGGCCCTCACAAAGCGGGGGATATCACAGTACCTGATCGATATCCTACGCAGCTACTTCACGGATCGAGTGCTGATCTACGAGACGGACGAAGGGCAACGAAGGGGTCCCCCAAGGCTCAGTTCTCGGACCGAAGCTATGGAACGCGATGTACGATGACATCCTGCGGCTCCCACACCGATATAACAGCAAGCTTTCGTGCGACATATCGTGCAAGTGCGCTCCAACGGTTTTTTATTTTCAAACCTTGTGAAAATGTAATCTTATTTAGTGTTTTTAACGAAAGTTATTAGTTTTAAAGTAAAAATGTATATAACATAAATTATTCATTTTTTTAATACCTTTAATTTCTTTCTGGAGCACTTTTTAATTAGGTTGATATATTCGAAGATATAGACGAAAAAACTGTTTTTACGGTTATTTTCCATGATCCCGTTATTTGCGCCAACTTTGACTATTTTTCCCGTACTCAGGACCCAAAAACACGTCGAAATGAAAAGTTTGAACAAAATTAGACGTAGGAGCTAAACGGAAACACCCCAATCTAAAATTTCTTTTCCTTACCACACAATTACTTTCTAATAAACTATTTCAAATTTTAAAATTAAATTAAATTTTAAAAAATAATGTTTGGCTCTCTTGCAACTGCAGTTTTGCCCACAGCACATCCACTCAGTAGGGATGTCGGAAATATATTAAAATACCAGAGCTCGTAAAATACGTTCAATCGAATTTCTTTAATCGGGCTGCTCAAATCGTTCGACGCTGGGTGAACAAAACAACAAAAGGGCTACTACAAAAGGTCGTTATTTTTGTTGCTGGGTTTGCTTGTGTTGTTGCCTCAGATATTTTGTGACAGGTGAAGCATTCGAGAGAGAGCGAAAGCGAGAGAACAAAAATTATAGGGAAATTAAAAACAAATTTATTAAGGACAAAAAAAATTTATATTCAAATATTTAAAAATGTAAATACATTTTTGAATAATGAAATAACCCAATTATTTTATTTATTTATTCATGTTTATATATATTTAATATTACAAATTAAGCTTTGAAATTGTTAAAGATTTTATGTCTTTTGTTCAGGATGAAATAAAGCGTCGAAGATGACCCCCCTTTCAAATAGGGTGACTTAAATTTTAGCCATAAAACTAATTTTGTTGGTCAAAAAAAGGAATGACTCCCGAGAATCATTAAGGCTGCTGGGTGAGGAACAGAGAGCTGCAACGAGTCAATCATTTTCGGGTACACTCGATCATTTACTCGTATCCGTTTTGATTATTCGCTTCGGGTGAGCGAAATGAAATGAGCGGTGAGCGAATGCGATCGTCCCATGAATGATCGTTCAAGTGTGTGATCTGATTGTGTGTGAACGTTCGGCTTGAAGATTTTACCCGTTTGTGATTGAATATTTTGTGCAATCGATTGGTGTGATCGTGCTTCGCGCCTATCGGTATGACCGTGCAGGTCGTGTTATCTATATCAATATTTGTCTTGATTAAAATAACGGTCAGTAGCCAATTCCACCCAGAACGGATTGACCTAAAAATCTAAAAAAAATCAAATTAATTCGGAAATAATTAAGCGCTGAATGTGACGTAGAGACTTAAACAAAAAACGACCCCAAAGTGCCCCAAAAATCGATTTTTTTTTTTTTTAATTCTTTCTTTTGCCATTTCTCTGTTATAAATGTTGTTAAAATGGTTTAAAAATGTGATGTTCATAATCTTATGGCATACCCGCAAATAACTGCATTTAAATTTCTTGGAGATTCAGCATCCTTAACCAAGTCCCCAATATTTTCAAATTTGGCTAACATAATGTGACGTCAC